CACACACACACACACACACACACACACACACACACACACACACACACACACACACACACACACACACACACACACACACACACACAATGAGCAAAATCAAATGAATCTTCCACTAGAAAATCGAAATATACACTTTCTCTCTCTCTCTCTCTCTTTCTCTCGCGCGTCCTCCCTTTCATGATCCATGACCGCCATGCTCCTTCCTCCTCCTCCGGCCTCCGTCCCCTATCCTCCTCAATCACGTAGCACATCTCAGCTTGCCGCGTCGGACGGGTATGCCGCGCGGCACCGATTTCGTCAAATGGCCGCCCCCCCCACACACACAGCTTGCCGCGTCGGACCGGTTCCGCTCCCCCCGCACAGCTTGCCCGTCGGACGGGTATGCCGCGACGCGGCAAGCTGTGTGGGGGGGGGGGACTGGAAGGCCATTCGACGGGTATGCCTCGTCGGACCAGTTCCCCCCCCGGCACAACTTGCAGCGTCGGACCGGTAAACCGCCCCTGCTGACGCTTTTGCCCGCGCCTCTTCTTTTTCCTACGGGTCCACGCATCGGCCTCCGATTTTGCCCGAGGGCCCGCGTCGTTTCGCCTCCAGTTCCACTGCCCGCTGCCCTGTTCCCACCTCGCCCTCATCCCTGCGCCGGTTCCACTGCCCTGTTGGCTCCCTCCTGCAGTTTCCCTTGGGCCCACGGCCGACCGTGTCCTCGGGCCCTTTGTATCTTTTAGTGGTATAGAGAAGAAAACAAACACATGGCGATTGCCTTGAGATACCATTATCGAACTGAGTGAGCCCAATCCCTACTGATCAGCCAGATCATTCAGACGTAAGGCTTGTTGCACGCGAGGGTAAACAAAGGGGCAGGCTGGTCATAAGCATACTTCTTGGCCATAGGGGTGGGCTGTGGTTGCACACCTTAGACACTGCAGCTTGATGATGCTCACAGGTACGTTGGATACAGGGGAAGGGGATTCCAATTGAGAACTCAACTGTACATCACTGACATATCCATTGTGCATACATCTGCTCACATTACTCTGAGTTTTATTTTGATTAGTTGGTTGACCGACTGCTGACACCTAACAGACAGACTAGAGTTAGAACTGTAATCTACCATAGCCAGTTCTTCTCAAATCTTTTGTGCAGACTAATCAATATAAGACTTGGGCAATGTGTATAGTTTGAGTAGATGCTTTTGATGCCGCTTGACTAGGAGGCTAGGTAACTCGTCGGGCATTTATGTATTTATTTCTTTTTAGATCCAGTCAGACGCATGCTGCGGTAGGTTCCAGCGAGGACATTAGTGCAGACAGCGTCTGCCTATCCTATGAGTGGATCACAGGGTGAGGGAGGTGCAGATGACGATAGGAGGTTAACAAGGCTAACATCCCTTAGAATCCCTAGAGTGTTTCAGACCCTACAACCGGGAGAAGAGAGAAGATTAAGGGTTGAAGCTAGGGCCCGTAATCTTGAGGCTGTAAGAGAAGCAGCAGCCGCTAGAGCGGTAGCAATGAGTAATGGTACTGCCGCAGCAACTGCTGCGAACTCGACTGGTCAAGGGCTAGGCATGCCGACCAGTTCACAGTCAATCTCCAGTACGTCAGGGGTTGGCACTAGTCAAATGGTGGGCTCGCAGTTCAGCTCGCCACCTCCACGCACCCGGGAGCAGATGAAGCTCCAACAAGTAGAGAGGATCCGCTTAAGGTTAGAGGAGGAACTTAGACAGACTACTAAAAGAGAGAGAGAGATCAAAGAAAGAAGTGTCAGACTGGAGAGTAGGGAGGCAGATATGGCTGCGCTAGAGGCATTAGATGACACTACCCTAAACACTATAGGAAAGATCCTGAAGGCAAGCGTCCTCTCCATGCATGCGTACATAGACAGCAAGATGGACGCCATGCAGGATACTCTAGATCAGATCCTAGAAGCGCAAAATAAGCCAGGGATCCAGCCAGTAGCTTTACCATCGCTGCCACTCTCAACGATGACAGACCTCTATGCTGCTCAGTCTACACCACCACCAAGTGTATCATCAACAGTACCTCTATCTCAGACTGTTGCTTCTTCATCTTCTGGTCCAACGACTGCTGCTACACCACAGTCGCCACCTGTCTGTTGCTTCTTCATCTTCTGGTCCAACGACTGCTGCTACACCACAGTCGCCACCTGTCTCACAACAGGGACAACAATATCCTTGGTACCCCAAGACCCCACTGAACCCACCTGCAACCTTTTCAGGAGATAAGAAGGATGAGGCTCTCGACACATGGTTGAGAACGGTGCCAGTGTGGGTAAGGGCAAAGAGGACATTGGTAGAAGAGGAGGTGATTATTGTTGCATCCTACTTAGAGGGTTCAGTAGCCCGTTGGCTAAACGGATTAGTTGCTTCAAAGGGCTTCGGCAGGAACATGCATGACTGGGCGCAGACCCACACATTAGAAAGCTTTATGGACTTAGTGGAGGCTCATTGGCACAACCCTCAGCACGCGCAGATCGCCACTGATGGGCTCTTGAAACTTGATACTAAAAAGTACAAGTCAGTGCGGGGACTTACCACAGCCGTAGAGCGCCTGATCGTCGTCCCGGGAGTGGAGTACAATCCACAGGTCTTGCTGACCATGTTCCTGAGATGTCTTCCCACAGACATTAGGAACTTATTAGCCAGCGAGGCTCGACGCGAGTATCACACGTTTGAGTCATTCAGCAAGAAGGCCCTAGACTTAGAGGCTACGCTGGGTGGAGCTCAAACCCCTTCTACGGATGGGAGAAAGAAGAAGACTCCACAAGAGTGGAAGAAGAAGGGTAGTCGATTGATGATGGTTGATTCCGATGGGAATCAAACCGAGATCGATGATGTTTCCGATCTTGTGGAGGGTTCAGAGTTTGGCGGCGAGGAGAGTGCTGAGGGTAGCAACCTCGCCGCCGTAGTTAAGACTAAGGCAGCTGGCAGCGGCAAGGGCGGTCAACAAAGGAGTCAGGGGCAGGCGGCTAACCCAAACAAAATAGCTGCTTGGGTTAGAGCAGGTCTGGATCAAGAAGTGTGGCGGGACCGTTGGAGTCGTGGTGCTTGCATTAAGTGTGGTGAGTATGGTCACACCCAGTTTAAATGCAAGAACCCGAAGGTCTCGCAGAAGATCCCTCCTAAGGGTGGGTTCTCTTCTTCTCAATCTGGGGCCTCTATGAGTTCCAGTTCGGGAAACACTTAGGGCCAGTAGAAGTTATAGTTGTTTCTACACTCGTTGAAGCGGGTGATTGACCCTCCCCATTTCAAGAGATGGCCAAAGCTATTGACTCCTTAGTCACCCCGCAGACGCATCAGGACCCAACTATACTCTGTACGTTGGATGTGTCTGAGGCCTTAGAGGACCTTCAAGATGAGTGGTCGGCAAGGGACCCTCGTGAGTCCTGGGTGGCATTGAGTAGAGGTCCTAGAGGGGAGCACTTCGTTGTGGAAGTTAATGTGGGTGGTTGCAAGTGCGGCGCCTTCGTAGACATTGGCTCCACGCGAAACTTCATAAGTCGCGACTGCGTTGACAGACTGTGCCTAAAGGACCGGGTGCAACGCCTCAATAGACCGGTAGCATCTACTTTGGCCAACAAAGAGCGCATGATGGTGGAGGACTACGTTAAAGATGTAGTCTGCACCTTCTCCTACCCAGGAGGAGAGTTAAACCATAAGATATCATTCCTGGTGAGTGACGAGTTGCCCTTTGACATGTTATTGGGCATGTACTACCTCGAGGTTGCCAAGCCCCAGTTTGACTGGGACAAGGTGTTGAAGCACGACTTGCCTAGTGGGAGAACCGTGAGACTGGCCAAGTACAAAGCCAGTAGGTTAGTAGACTCCTATGGGTGCGTATGCGCAGCTGCCTTTTATAACTATTATAAACAGAACCCTGAGGAAGGAATGTACTTGGTCTATGTCTCTGCAAAAGAGGAGGCCGTTAAAACACCCCAGAGATAGAGACCATCGTCGCCAAGTACCCTGATCTGTTCAAGGAGCCTACAGGAGTCGTAGACAGGGAGATTGTCCATGCCATAGAGATCATCCCCGGTCGTAAAACACCTAAGGGAAGAATCTATAGGATGGCCCCAGCCCAGTTGGACGAACTTCGGCGGCAACTGAAAGAGCTCACAGAGAAGGGTTGGATTCGGCCTAGCACTTCCCCCTATGGCTCACCTGTCTTATTCGTTCCAAAGAAAGGGGGAACACTAAGGATGTGCATTGATTACAGAGTCCTCGATGCCATCACCGTTAAGAACGCAGGGCCTCTGCCACGCATCGACGACCTATTGGATAGGGTGCAGGGATGTAAATACTACACAAAGATAGACTGAAAATCCGACTACCATCAGATTGCCATTAGACCATAGGACCAGCACAAAACCGCATTTCAGACCAGGTACGGTCTGTACGAGTTTGTGGTGATGCCCTTTGGCCTTTGCAATGCGCCGGGTACATTCCAACACGCCATGAATAGGATCTTCCATGACTACTTGGACAAGTTTGTTGTCATGTACCTCGACGGCATACTTATCTTCAGTAGATCTGTCGAGGAGCATGCTCAGCATGTAGACATAGTACTTTTACTTCTTCGACAGCACAAGTATAAGATAAATATAGAGAAATGCTAGTTCGGTCGCACTCGAATCTTGTACTTGGGTCATGAAGTATCCGCGGATGGTATTAGGCCCGAAGATGCAAAGGTGGCCAACATACGTGACTGACCACGACCCCGGTTTGTGACTGAGGTCAGATCATTCTTGGGAATGAGTGGTTATTACTGCAATTTCGTAAAGAACTATAGTACGATCGCATCTCCCTTGACTGATCTAACTCGACTTGACACACCATGGGACTGGACCGACGAGTGTGAGGCAGCTTTCAAGCGTTTGAAGCATGCTCTCACGCACCATGAGGTTCTCATGGTACCCGACCCGCAAAGGCCATTCGTTGTGACCACTGACGCAAACCAATATGGGATTGGCGCAGTGCTGGCTCAGCAGGAAGGGAAGAAGTTGAGACCGATCGAGTACATGAGCAAAAAGATGCCTTCAAAGAAGTTGGCAAAGTCTACCTACGAGAGGGAACTCTACGCTCTATACAAGGCACTTGTTCACTGGAGGCACTATCTGTTAAGAAGGTTCTTCTATTTGAGAACTGACCATCAGACCCTCAAGTGGATCAAGACTCAACCAGTTCTCTCCGATGCACTCAAACGCTGGATTGAAGGCATAGACCAATATGACTTCAAACTAGACTATTTGAAGGGAGAGTACAATAAGGTTGCAAACGCGTTGTCTAGGAGGGCAGATTACCTAGGTGCGCTGATTTCTGAGTTTGGTCTATCTGAAGATGTAACTCGATCGTTGGAGGAAGCCTACAAGGAAGATCCCATCACGATGGACATCATCAACAAACTTCAGGCTAAAGACAAGGCCACTACTGATGAGTTTGTGATGGTGGATGGGTTACTCTTTCTTGAGAAGGCAGGGTTTAAGAGGTTAGTTGTTCCATCTAGAGAAACTTTGCGTAGTTTATTTTTAGGTGAGTGCCACGATGCAATGGGACACTTCGGCTATAAGAAGACTAGTGCTAATTTAGTACAGCGATTCTGGTGGCCTAACATGCTTGACAATGTGAAGAAGTATGTGGAGACTTGTCAGGTCTGCCAGCGGGACAAGCCGCGGACTCAAGCTTCGCTTGGGTTACTCAAACCTCTACCCATTCCTACTGGCCCGGGTCAGAGTATCTCCATGGACTTCATGGACACTCTCGTGACCAGCAAGAATGGCAAGAGGCACATTTTCGTCATAGTGGATCGGTTCACTAAGTACGCTAGACTAATCGCCATGCTAGAGACTGCCAGGACTGAGTACGTCATCAAGTTGTTCATGGACAACTGGGTGCGTGATTTTGGATTGCCTAAGACTATCGTTAGGGATAGAGATGTCCGTTTCACTAGTGAGATGTGGAAACAGGCCGCTGAACAGATGGGCAGCCAGCTTCAGATGACTTCTGGGAATCATTCCGAAGCAAATGGGCAGGCTGAACAGATGAACCGAGTGGTGCAGCATCTGCTGAGGCATTACATCAAGCCCAGCCAGGATGATTGGGATGAGAAGTTGCCTCTCATCGCCAGTCTGTACAACAATGTTGTACACAGCACCATCGATGTCAATCCTAATCAGCTACATCTCGGATGGAAGCCTAGATCTGCTCTAGACTTCCTCCTGCCTGAAAACGGAACCGCTGCAACTCCTGGAACCATTGAATTTGGTGTCCAGTATGAGAAACTGTTGCAGCAGACTGTCGAACATATCAAGAAATCTCAGGAAGTCATGATTGCTTTTGAGAACAAGCGTCGCCGACAATCCACATTTCAGGTAGGGGAACGCGTCTGGGTCAAGGCTAGTGAGTTGGGACAGGAGTTTGGCATCTCTAAAAAACTATTGCCGCAATATTTCGGTCCCTGGGAAGTCCTGGACATTGTGGGGCATGATTTGGATGGTCCCTCGTACGTTATTCGTATCCTTGGTCACTTACGCACTTACCCTGTGTTTCACGCCTCCAAGCTTGCACCTTTCGCTGAGACAGCACAGTTCCCATCACGAAGATCTATGCTGCCCCCAACCATGGATGGCCAAGTGGACGTCGACGACATCCTGGATCACAGAGATACGCCTGTTCCTAAGCCACCTGGCAGGGGAAGACCTCCCAAACCTGCGAGGGAATACAGAGTACACTTCAGGCATCATACAGATCCGAAGGAAGATCGATGGATTTCAAGGGAGGAACTTGTCAAGACAGCTCCTCAGATCGTGGCCGATTATGAGAAAAGACTGAAGGGGAAGGCACCAGCATGAAGCATCTCAGCGGACTTTTGAAGCTAAGGGGGATGGAATGTGAGGAACAAGCCCTCAAGTGGCCCTATCAGACATCACATTGTTCTGGGCCAAGGCCCCAGCAAGCCAAGTGCCCGCCCTAAGTGAAGGCGGGCCTGAATATTCGTCACAGGCCAAATTCGACATTTCCATATGTGGGTATTCAGGCTCTTGCAGCGCGTCAGTTGGTTGAGTGAACACGCGAGCCTCACCAAGCTGCGCCATATAGTTGGCCCAGGCCTCGAAAGTTATGTTTGGGCACCTATACACCGAAGCAGGGCCGATACATTGAGAAGCAGGCCGCCGGCCTTTGGAAATGCAGTACAGCCGACGCACCTACCTGGGGGCCCTACACAGATGCAGTTAACCGCCCAAGTCCTGAGACTCAGGCCGCGCCCAACTGTAAAGGGCCCAGGCCCTCAACTATAAGACTCGGCCTGGGCACAGGGTCTGAGGCCCAACCGGAAGCTTCTGGAAGCTTCCCGCCAGGCCACACGCAGCATGCAGCAGGCTGCCACTTCCATAAATGAAGTGAGGCAGCCCAGGCCAGGCATTCGGGCCAGTGCCGGCAATGCGGAAGTGCTGCTGCGCTCTCGCTTGATGCTGCGCTGCTGCCAAGGGCGCTGACGGGGTGCGAGAGGTGAGGTGGGGCGCTGCAGGGCAGCTGGGCGCAGGCGGCCATAACCGGGCTGCTAGGCGCCAGGGGTACAGCGGATGATCGGGTGGTCTTCAGGGAGTGAGGCGCTGTGTGGGGTAATCAAGGTCTGATTGAGGGTGACGAGATACGTACCTGGTACATGACAAGAGGTCGCCGATGGTGTGGACAGTCATGTACATTGGTCTTCGTGAGCCGAAGTGATCCTGTTGTGTGAACCAGCTGTAGAGTAGGATAGTATGGTAGAGTAGGCTGGGCGCTGTGCGCCGGACAGAGAGAGCGACTCTGGATACTATGTTGGTGTGGCCTACAGGCTTGGACATTGGCTCAATACTTCATTGTATTGCTCTTTATGGATGGTTTTCTCGGTGCATTTGTACTCTCTACTTGGGATACTACTACTTGCTCAGTTGTGTGATTTCGTAACTTGGTTTTATATATATTGCTCACACTCATATTCCTTGCATTATTATTATTATTATTATTATTATTATTATCCTACCCCTTAAGCGCGGTGGGCCCGCGGGGGGGAGGTCGTGTTCCGCTGCGCGCCGGAATCGGCCCGAAGTTTTGATTCGGGCCGGCGGATGAAGGCGATCTAGGGAGGGGCGTTGTGCAGAGTGGAGCGCATACCGAATTGTTCACAGCGCACCACTAAACGAGAGAGAGCGCCCACCACCGGGTACACGGCGGGCGTCGATGCGCATTCATATCTGAACGCGCCCGCCGTCGGATAGCAAGAAAGTGTCGTTTCGTGCCCCGGCCCCTTTTTTTTCTTTTTGACTTTGTGTTCTTTTTGTAATTTTGTATTTATCTTCTTTACTTTTAGTTTTCTGTAATTGTGTACTTTCCCCAGTTTTTTTCTTTTCTTTTCTTTTTGTTTCTTGGCGGGCGGGAAAATGGAAAAAAGAAAAGTCGCCACCTGCCCGGCCGCCCGCCCGCCCACATACATACATAGTCCTCTTCTCTCTCTCTGCCTACGGTTTTACCGGGCAGTTCTGTTTGTGACGATATATATATATATATATATATATATATATCGTCAAATTATGTTAAGTATTTTAAGTTCGTCCACAACGGTTGCGTTGGGGTTTGAACCCACGCACAGATTTTGAAATACCCAAATGCCACCTGAGCTGAAATACCCAATTGCCACCTGAGCTGGGTCCCTGTTTGTTTTGGGGGACTATTGTCTTTTGAAGTGTATCCCACGTCAGGCTGCTGGCACGTCAGGATGTGCCTGTGTGTCCGAACCCTAACGTTGCAGTGTGACCCCCGCCGGCCTGAAATGGACTTTCCTAGGGGGGGCGGCGACCGGGCAGGCGCAGGCGGGTCCAGGCCAAACATTTTCAAGCGCGAACTTTGACGATTTTTCGCGCTCAGAACAATCGGTAAAAAAATCTGAAATTTTGATATTCTGTAGATTAGGCCGTGATATTTCCAGGAAAAATATCAGAAAAATGAAAAAAAAATAAAATTAACGGTGAAGTAAATGCCGCGCTGTTTCGTCACATTTTCCATTTTTACTACTTTACCACGTTTGGGCCAACGAGAAAAGAAACCAAACTTTCGCGATTTTTTGCAATCAGAAGGATGACCCAACAACTCTGCAAATTTGAGGGTCGATAGACTTGGTCGCGATCTATACAGGAAAAATATTTACAAAAATTGAAAAAATCATTTCGACCGCGAATAAATCGCGGGGATAATTCAATACATTTTCGAAT